TTAATTACCAGATGTCAGTTGGCTGTTTAAAAGAGAAAAAATCGGTTAATTTTGTAATTAAGGACACATTAACAGCGATACAATATTAAAATTTCGTATACAGTAAGACGCTGCTTAGTTCATGCAATGTAATATAATGCCTACCATTCACAATCAAAAACATTTATACGAACCGGTAATCTGTGCTTCCTGTCCTCAACTCGAACACGCTTGGTCAAATTCAGCTTGAGAATTATCACATGAAGTGTTTAATGTTCGCTTTTCGAAACTTGGCACTTCCGTGCAAGGACGAAAACGATTCATGTTGTTCAAAACTATATCTTTATGGCACGAAAGAAAGTTTTTGCCTCTTTACAGTAGCCCATTAACAAATCAAAGAGTTCTAAATTTGGAGATAGTACAATACGGTAATTAGCAATTGGACCTTATGTAAAAGAAAGAAAGAAAAAAAAAGACATTTTCTGCAGATGTGAAATCCAGGCATGTTTTTCCTTACATTACTTAAATTCTACGTACTTTTTAAATATATGAATTTAAAAAATACCCTTAATTAGAAAAAAGTTGATATCAATAAATTTGGTTCAGCTCATAAACACATCGTGTTTTAGATGGAGAATAGAGCAATATTGTAGAACTGCCTTAGACACAGTATCAGAAGTGGTTTCGTGCTGTTTTCGTCTAGCACTTTAAAAAAGCTTTTTTGAGATTATAACTGTCCCTGCATAATTCAAAACGAAATACAATGCCAATTTATAAAATGAAATTTATGGAGATAACGAACAGTATTCAAGCTAAAAAGTCCATTAAACAATACAAATTTTGGAGCAGAGCAAAAACAGACCTCCAAAACGTCAGAGGTGGGATCAGGTGCCATGGAGTAGTGAGCATCTCCTGCCGACCGGTCACACCCGCCGTGTGCTCCTTGTCATGATCGGGTAATAATGAGAAAATCCTCGACAATTCAGTGTGTAAATAATGGCCTTACAATTAGTATGAAAAATGTCAGTCAGCATTTGACTTAATGATGAACTAAATGAAATGAAAAAAATTAAGAACTATATTTTATTACCTTGGGATTGAAATGTTTTAGGCTTCTTTGATTATTTCTCCATCGCCCAAAACTTTAACACTGATCATTACCATAAACTAAATGAGATCGAGACCTTTATAGCTGAAAAAAGTTGACAGAGCTTGTATGCTAAGGCGAAGAACATACTATTTTAAGAGTACAAGGCGGGTTTGAAAGGTCGGCAGGGGATCCCATCTCTGATGTTATCTGAGGTCCGTGTTTGCTCTGCTCCCGATTTGTATTGTTTAAATGGACTTTGAGCTTGAATACTGTTGGTTATCTCCATATTTCAAAAAACAAATACGAGTTTGCATTTATTGCTACAAAAGGAGTATTGTTTTGTCACCTAGGGAATATTGTGTATCATTTCAATGAACCGCAAGGGTGTAAAGAAGAATAAATAATTTTAGTTCTACCAGATATTTCGATAAAGTATAATGGAATCGAAGCCGAAAGATTAAGAGAAATTACGGATATAATTATTATCACATGGAGAGCAAAAAGGCCGGGAAATTTCTAGGAAATTCCTCACTTTTCTTTTCTTAACGATAGCTGATTCAGAAACACTGTGCTGTTCATTTATCGACAAGACCTACTGAGGCACTGTGTAATTATACGCTAGTGTACGATAAAACAGGAGCAAATCAAAGATATATCTTTTGCCCCTGATTTTTTTTTAATTAAATCAGATCAAAGGTAAATACAATTGATTTATACAATGATATAAAGCTCAAAAAACCCAATAAATTAAGAAGTCTCATTTAATTGCTTAGAAATATGTGTCTACAGTTCACATAACTGCAGAACTGTAGCTCTCTTTATGAGGAAATTCGAACAGACAAACGACTGTCGAAGAAAATAAACATGCCGAGAAATATTGTCCATAAAAGAAAACAATATAAATATATAAAAAAAGAAATTACTTATAAGCATTATCCCAACATTGATGTCGGAATGCGATTTTTTAAGACTGATATTTTAAAGCCACTAAGGGCTGTTTGGGACCGTTAAACAATAAATAAAGTCACAAGACTAGGAGTAATATTCATGGTTAATTAATGATTTTGGCTTGCATGGGAACGCATATAATACAAGAAATAATATACGAAGCGTGTGACAAAAAAGCAGCCCCTTAACTCGAAAGTTTTTCTTATTAGTATAATGCTTGGATTTGTAGCTTTCTGGTTTGTCTGTCTCTTAACCAGAGAGCACAGCTCTGCAGCTACAGTTCACAAGTCATGACTTTAAAATATTCCAAATTGTTCTTGTTTTATAAAATGTTTCAGAATATAAAGTTAGAATTTCTTATCTATGAACACATGTGCATACATTTATTAAGTTGGAGAACTAAATCACCCTTTCACACATACATCTAGAAAAGAGTTCTATAAGATCATGAAATACAAGGACATCTGTCCCTACTAGATTACATACATACGTAGATACCTGTGAATGCATCAATAGAATGGACTACCCATCTAGACAACTTCGATACAGTTGAGTCGAATCGCCCATTTGTTTAATAATGTATTCTATATTTTGACCTTAAGTGTTTTGATAATATTCAACATCTTTTGAGGTTGTTATACTTTTTGTTTTTTACCAATGTTTTAATTCTTGATAAATTAAAAAAAAAAGCATTAAGTCAGTCTTTATCTACGTATTTTTAGTGTTAAACTGCTGTATCTACAAAATTAACTACAATGCGAGACAAAGATGATAGGTCTACAACATGCTGAGGTCGATTCTATCTAGATATCATTACTATTTAGAGTACAAGATGAATTATTTTGTCTAAGAGATTGACGATTAGCTTGAGATCGATTCTTGCATGTATCTTTATGTAAAGTCTGATGATGAATAAAAATGATGTTCAATGTAAGGTAAAACTAATATTATACCATGCATATTTAACATTGCATGTTTCACAACGCTTGGTGGAAAACATAGCATTTGGTAATTCAATAAGTTTGGATTAAAATATCTGGCAATAAATCCAAATAGATTCTTTAGAGATCATTATATACATGGAAACAAAATACAGAATTTATGTATTTTCGAGGAATTGCATGCTTACCTAAATCAATAAATGATTCTGACTTACAATGGAATAATGGAGATGTTACTCTTCTGAAGAAAAATAAATAACTCCGATGTTTTTACTTGTCTATTTTTATGAATTATAGAGAGAACAATTATTTTTCTTGCAAAATAAATAAAGTACTGCAAGTTGCTTGAATATTCAATATCCTATATATGAAATAACGTTGCTGTTTTATTTTCAAATAACAAGGAATGTAGTGACATGCCATCTATTAAAACGTAAATATAGTTCCTAATTGTTTCGGTAGAAGAAAAACGGTCGTGTAACGCGCTGGTGAGCTGAGGATGTACTACTCAGGAACAAAATGTATTTAGGTCTCCTAGTTATGCTGAAATACCATCCTCAAGTGAAAACCACGGAAAACATTAGAAATGAACTGGATATAAAAGATTCTGTCTTTGAGATATTTCTAGCCAATGGTAAGATGTGATCAATTGAAATAAACTCATTATTTCTAGCAAGGAGTAAATAAACTCCCAGAGTTCCTGTGTATTAGTACAAAACACAGTCAATGCATTGATTGTGAAATTTCTAACTCGGGACTTAATTGAATTTAAAGAAATAAACCTGCATGTCATCCTATTAAAAGGTTAGACCCTCTCTTTAAAAATAAACATTATAAATGGATAGTTCGATCTTCATTTGAGAATTCACTTAGAAAGCCCACGCGACGGTAAACTGTGCTCAATTAGCGAAACTCTCAGTCAAGGTAATGGACTTCTCATTTCTTTATTTAACTTTCCAGAAAGTCAACAGATACTATCATGCTCTTTGGCTCACATCATCTCAATGGTGTTAAATTAATTCTATCTACTTTGATAAAGATTACGAGTATACAATATATTAAATTAAGGTCAATATGCTGCTTACTAGTATTTATTAAGTACTTTATTTTGCTCCACTCCTAAGTAAATTTTTAAAATCCAATCAGAATAGGAAAATAAGATTTTAAATTAATTGATCAAAATTTCATTAAATTATTTTACTCTAATATACTCTTATTCATATATATCTTATTTCTGAAGACCAGTGAACACAAAAATATCGTAAAACGATTTCTTTATAATGTATACATATATAGAGAATAATTTACATACCCTTTTCCATATCACATCCTGTATCACCCCGAGACACAAATATCAGGGCTGATACAGGATGTGATGTGGAAAAGGGTATTTTTTATTATGTTTATTACATACTTGGTAATAAAATGCAGCACACATCAACTTGAGAAAATACAAATAAATAATCATGCACTGACCAATGACATGTAGCATATTATATAAAAAACAACAATTTGAAATTAAGAGAATGTGAACCAAAAAAAAAATAGGTGTATCTATCTCAAGTATACTGTTTTTAAGGTTTAATCTACTTGGGTGTGATATAAATCCGTATCATCATCCGATACAGCTATTGTGACAGCTGCAGGGCTGATACGGCTATTGTGACATCAGGCATAAGGCATACGCAAAAAACCTGTATTTATTACTAAGTATGTAATAAATAAATTTATCATAACACATTGCAAGAAGCGCCTGATTGGTGTATAAAAGTATATTTTAGCGATGTACAATATGACAGTGTTCTTTATTGATATTGGAAATTAATCAACTTCTGGTGTATTACAAAGCAAATGTTTATCTTTTGCCATTACCACCAGATATGAATGCCATAAACAAATTACATTTCAATTTCCACCACAACTTCCGACAATTCCCTCGCTACATTTACACAGCATTGATGAGTATATTTCTAGCTCATCCGAGAAATAAATGAAATAAAAACAAAGAGGGTATTTAGCGTGATTTATGTGTAGAGGCTTACCTTTCTATACAGACAGACACCAGAGAAAGAACAGAGACGTAGAGGCACGTCACTTGGATGTATCTGTTGAATTTACACATCCCGACCCCGATCATCCAGCCGCGATTAAGAATAAACTGAATGATATCAGGAACGAAGAAAACCATAATGAAGAGGTCAGCAATGGCCAGGTTCATAATAAAGACATTGGTCACTGATTGTCTCATTTTCCTGTCTATTAGGATGACCGTGATGACCAGGGAATTTCCCACAATTCCTAGTACACCGATAATGAAAAATAAAATGCTCAGAGTTATGATTGTTCCCAAGGATACAGGGGGGTCTAAAGATGACCCAGGCGAGCTAAGTATGCTCGTGACGTTTTCCATAGCTGTTGAGTTTACAGACGTCTCTGACCAATTGTAGCTATAAAGTCCACTGTCAGATATGTTCAGTTGACCAAACGTACTAGCAGTCGATGTATCCATCCTCTCCAAAGACCATTCGCCATCTACAAGACAATGAATATATGTTTAAGTATTATATCTATGCCATGCATGACTGTGTATGTTGTTTATATAAAAATAGTCCGGTCCTCTTTGTGCGGTTTGGTTCAGAGTAAATACGCTGTCCTTACGAAGTAAACTGTTTATTGACGGAGTGCCGGCCTAATAAACCAAAGGGTGGTCCTCCTTCATCGAACTTACACCTTGTCTTATTTCTCTCGGAGAAACATCCGTCACTCAAAATTGGAATTCCGAAGTTTTATTTCCGAACAAACAAGCCCGCGTCATTAAGATGAGAAACTGCCCCAAACCCCTTTTTGATGAAAAACGAAATCAGCTTCCTACGAGTATTTTCCTTCAATTGTTTAGCTTAAGGTGTACGATTTTTCTCTCTGGAATCTTGTTAATTATAAACTGGTTAATCATAGTCTATACCGGATGCTCTGTTGAAATGACAAAATGTAGAATAAAATTTTTTAATAAGATCGCTATTCGTTCGAAAATTTTCCTTAAGGATCGATGGTCATTGTCAAGAATGATCAAAAAAATATTGTGCAAAGGATATTCCTTTCCAGAAAATGTTTTTAACATTTATTTAAAAAAAAAACTTACAAATTTAAACTACATTTTCAAATGCTGGAGACTTACTTGAACGTTTAAACCAGAAATACAAGATCCGATTTTTAAGTTAATTTCTACGGAAGCTGATCGAGACAGGATAAATGTTTCACTTAGAGCAAGGATTAACGTTAAACATTACGGCATATGTTGATTGGATACTAATGCACTTCAAACATACATCATAAAGCCAGAAGGTGCACTATCAGAGGTCATCAATTGTACTATATCTGAAGCGCATTATCACACATCGTCAAAACAGATTTAACTTTTTCTTACCAGCAGCGCACAACACTTTTACCTGTTAGAGCATCATAAAATCTACAGGAAGAAAAATTAAAAGCACTTTCATTTTACCGATTACACTACTCAAAAAAGACATTATAATTCAATATTCCGCTTCTTTTATATTAATTCATCACAATTTCAATTCCTTTCTCATTTCTCTCAAGTGCGCTTTAGTTGTTCGATAGAGAATTTTTATGGATTTATGTCCTCTTCAGATTATGAAACAGTCAACATGATGAATAAAAAATTTCGTTTCATAAAGCTTGAAATCCCGACCAAAGATATAATTGACCAAGCGCTCCTTCGTCTCCTCCGTGCAACAGATGCTCGGGTCGACAGATCCTCAATAACGGAATTAACCATACCGTCTCAGATCTGAGTTTTATAATTTCGTGTTAAGTTGTGATCAATGAAGGCTAGCATGATTTCGTTACTCAATTTGTTCACGTCAGAAGAAGTTTTACCAATTAATTTCTCATCATAAATAAACTGTATGGTCATTAAAGTATATATCAGCAAATGAATATGTTCAGCAATCTCACCGTCACGGCCGTCTCAAATGGTCTTAGGAAGCTCAGCACGCAATCCACACGATAAAACAAGGATTTCTGCACCATTTCGTATCGATAAGAAAGTAATGGGAAAATGTTCTTGTTTATTATCTACATCAAAACAAATTTCGTGACATAGTATGATTTATACTTTATTTTTTATTGCGTTTATGGAAAACTTTTTTTTCTAAAAATTTTCGAGAAATAAATTGCAACTGAAATCGCACTTTGATTGTTTACTATGGATTATTTAATGAGATTATTGTTTAATTGAAAACTATGCTCTTTGTACACAGAGTTCTTATAAGATAAAAGGACAACTTTCCTGTTGCAATACATCATACACAGTTTATTTCTAAGCCTTGCAAACAAATTTTGCAAGCTTTGACAAGTTTCATGAATTATCAAGATTTTGAAAATCCTGTTGTATGAACAGGTGTTATGTATTCTTTGTACATGTATGCTTGCCCTAAATTACACAGTCAAACCATGTTCATTTTTCAAAGTACTTTTTAGTAGTACTTGTTCATATAAAACCTCAAACACTTCTTGAACCAGGTCCACTAAACATAATGTTAAGACATTTCAGGGAGCAGTTTTGTTTTTTGTACCCAGAACTGAATAAAATTTTAAAACCACCAAGCAATTTAGAGAAATTTTCACTTTAAAAAATACGAAATAAAATCGTTAAATCGTAATCTCTGTCCCTGTGTTATTGATAAAATAAGCGATTTTGCTTTTTTATATTCATAGTAACACAATATGATAACTAAATTAGAAGCCATGTTTATGTCCGGATGAAAGATTTCAGAGCCATTGATTTCATATAGTTGCGCATAAAGTGAGAAGATTGAAGGATTATTTTTCACTGCTAACTTTGATATCCCTGTTCTTGACTTTGATTATTGACTAGATCTGGGAATCATACATATGAAGAAAATGATGAGCTGGTGATTCCTCAGTATTGATCACGAACAAGTATCGGAGAGAGCAAACAGAAGGACAAATCAAAAATCCAACTTATATTGTCGATGCAAAATTTAAATATACTTCCTCGTTTTCTTTAGAATGACTAAACGCAAAAATATAAACAAACACAAAAGTAACTGTAGGTTTTAGATAATATTGGGTATATTTACCAATCATTACCACTTAACTAGTAAAAGATGTGACCAAATGTTTGTAATCGGACATGTTTTTTCCCTCTTAATTAAATGCCAAGATGTAAAGTGTCGCTGGACTTGAGTACTTGTTTTCAATTTTTTTAAGTACATTTTTTGTAAATCTATATGGAAACAATTGAATATCATCATTGGTTGATAGGTATGATTACGGGAAATCCGATATTTGGAACAATTATAGTAGACTTTGCGAACCCATTATAAAAAAAAGACACCAATTCGTAAGTTATATTGATTTTCACCTCCATATTACAATATTATTTACAATGTTATAAAGAACAATTCCATGTAGCCTTTAAACGAAATGATTTAATCCTGTTCTCTTATTTAGGCAATATGCATATACAAATAAAAATATAACACGTTTTCCATATAAACGAGCAGCACATGTTAAGCAAATGAACCTCTGGTGTATTGTCATTGCTTTACATCTATTTATAATGAATCTATGTCAATTTCATGTGCTCATGGCATGTGGGAATAACAAACAGAAACAATCTTCAAAAAGTCCAGTTGGGAGCAGATCGAACACAGACGTCTGAAAACAGAGGTGGGATCAGGTTCCATGGAGGAGTAAGCATCCTTGTCGACCGATCACATACGTCGTGTGTCCCTTGTCATGAATTGGTAAACGGAGAAATCCGTAGACAATTCAGTATGAAAATAATAGCCTAGCAATTTTTATGAAAGACATCTAGTCAGTCAACATTCGATCTAACGACAGATTTGGCATGCAAACAAGGTCTTTGTATCGACCATGTTGACTTTCAACAACATCAACCTATTTGTAAATAACTTGCCCAGGCCCCAGCTTTAGAAATTTTTCGTACATAGCACATACTCTTACGCATCGAATCAACTGAGAGACATAAATCCTTTATATGCAGATGATTATGGTATATTGCTATATATAAGGGAAGTTGACGATAGAAAAGTTGAAGCCAGCACTTTTATCACAAAATTGAATCGTTGGTTTGTCCTCAGTTCTTTCTCTATCAATAATCCCAAACATGAAACAGATATGTCAGACCATAGTTCATGTTTTCTAATTCTAATTGAATGCCACAGCAAAAGACCTATTCTTTTCATGTAGAAGTTTTTGAATAAATTCCACTTCACAAGACTATAATAATGGGGCACAATTATTACCTTTGGAAATTCCAATAAATTGTTGGAAGTCCTGGTTTCTAGTAGCTACATTAATATTGTCAATGACCAACTCAAACATCTTTTTAATATCAACCTCGGAGTACTTTTGTGTAGAATCAGTATGATTTTTATCTGAGAAAATTTGTAGATGACTAATGATAAGGTATAAAGATTTCGAGTTCTACTTTAATGAAAAAAATCTTGTCTATAATTTATCCTGGAGAATGATTGTGAAAAGTGCTGTAAAGTTACTGACATACGATTTGATGCTATTGAATTTGGCGTTTGATGCTATTGATTTTGACGAAATTTTATGATTTTCACATTTTCTAAAAGTTCTTCGAAGTTTTTTAGAGCCACATTTGATAAAGACTATTTCTCGAATAAGTTGTTGTACAGTACTGATGAAATATTCCCCTATGGGACATATTTATCATGTGTTAATCATATGATAAAATACTCACATATGAGACATAATCATTTATATTTGTTCAATGGATATGTTGTTCGTTTTAAACATATGTTGCACATTTTATATATATTGCTAGTCTTTTATGGTAACTCATTTGAATTTGAAAAAAATGTGTTAATAATATGTTGCAATTGTATGTGTAAATAACTTCCTCTTAAATTTTTTCTTCATATGTACTACCGAACATTTAGCATGCACAAGTTCCGCATGACTTCATACAGCAATAAGCTCTCTATTATATGTACTATACCATTACGGGAGAGTATATCATTGTATTAGGGGTCTTTACTCTTTGAATTGGGCTGTAACAAGAATTAAATGTTATAAATAAAACTAATCAATTGTATTTGCTTCTTATGGGCTGGTAATTGTATATTCCCTAAGTTTGGGGAACAATTAACTTGTATTCCCATTTCTCTGTCTCTGAATCAAGACTTGAGAAGGGGGGATTGTTGTGGTTATTCCGAGTTATTAAAAATTGCCTCATAAATTCAATGATTTTTTTAACCAAAGAAAACTATATTAATTGAACTTTGCCAAATATATTGAATAAATTCTATGTAATCTTTAACAACCACAGATATTAAACAGTACTGTTTCAAAAGTGATAAAGGGAATCTGACTTCCGCAATTTTCAATGGAAAAAATGAGATCAAAGCTCAAATTTAATCCTACTTTATGTAGAAAGTCATTTTCAGTTGGAAAATGTCAAAATTTCACGTTATACATGTATTTTGTGCAGGTACTCCTGGGAGTTGAACTATCAATTTGAGCAATACTTACACCAAAGAACATCGATTATAGTCCACAAAAAGGGTATCATCTATTATTTTTCGAACATAAAAACATCATTGATGGGTCAAGAAATTAGGAAATACGGATGGGATAAAGATTATTAGAAAGAAATTTCCATCAGAAGAAATTACGAAAATCGATTGTGGCTGAGAAAAATAAGTAAAATGAAATATATGGAGATAACGAACAGTATTCAAGCTCAAAAGTCCATTAAACAATACAAAATAGGAGCAGAGAAAACACGGACCTCCAAACATCAGAGGTTGGATCAGGTGCCATGGAGGAGTGAGCATCCCTTGCCGACCGGTCACACCCGCAGTGTGCTCCTTGTCATGATCGGGAAATAACGGAAAAATCCGTCGACAATTCAGTGTGTAAATAATGGCCTAACAATTAGTATGAAAAACGTCAGTCAGCATTTGACTCAATGATAAATTGAATTTGCTGACAAGGTCATTGTATCGACCATAGAACTTACGAAATGATGACTTTAAACGAGACAGCTAATATTCTTGTTTCATCAACTTGTTTGTCAATAATTTACCTCGTTAGAGCATGCTCTTGCGTATCGAATCAACTGAGAGATATACACCCCGTATGCAGGTGATGAAGGTATATTGCTGCATAAGTAAGGGAAGTTGACGATTGAAAAGTTAAAGTCATCACGTTCATCATAAAGCTTGGTTGTTAGATTACCACAGATTTTTAAGTATCCACATCTGATTTACACCACTTCTCGAATATATTGTTGCACAGTACTCTTGAAGTATCTCCTTCACCACTGTTAATATCTTAGTGAGGAGTAAAGAAAGAGGCTTGGTTGAACATTTACTGGAACCCGCTATGCATCTTTGTTTGTAAGGATTTTTATGAAGTTTCGGAATCCAATATAAATATGGTAATTCAAATTCATTTTGGTTGTTTGGAATATTAAAAATATTCAAAACTTACATACGATTTTGAAGAATTTCTTCCTTGGAAAGGAAACTATGAAAAGTCTATAAAAGTCAGAAATACATGTTAGGTGAAGATAATTTAAGGGAACAGAGGAATTGGTTAAAGGGTGGTCATATTTACACCAATATACCAGAAAGTGCTTTATAATACATGTACACATAATGATATGTTCAAAGTGGAAATTGTTTCAGTTTGTTATAAGTTTATGGATTTTCATCAAGAATGAAAGTGCCAGAATTTGTATTAAACCAACTATAAAACCACAAATGATTGCAAAATAATCATAAAAAAAATTAGATTTTTGATACATCCAACGAGGCAGGCACTTACATGTAATCGGCCGTGGTTGAAAGTATCATTTCAAAAGATATGACCAAAAAATTTTTTAAAA